CTGGGGATTTAATAAGGGCTGGGGATTTAGCTCAGTGGTTCCGCCATCTGCCTCGAAAGCACAAGGTCCCAAGTTTGATCCCCGGTACCAAAAAAAAAAAAAATTTAAATATTCCATTTTTCAATAATATAATTAAAAGACAACCTGATTACTCCTTTTTCGAAAAAAAAAAAACAAACCCACCAAAAAAAACAGCATTAAAAAAACTGAAACCATGATGTGACAAAATACAAACAATTATTTTCTAGATCGTTCACTTGGTATGATTTTAATCTTTACAATTCCTCCCCCATGCCAATCATTTTAAGACCTGGTAACTTAGTTTCTCATTGTATGCAATAGGCTGCTTAAGAAATAGATTTTACCATATATAGTTTCCCCTTCACAGTACTGTGGTTTAAACTGCCTCACTTACTTCCCACTGAGTCATCAAATGGTAGGAGTATGAGCAGTATGCTCCTCCAAGCAAACAGGAAGAAAAATCTGTTATCTGCTCTAAAAGAACATTTTTTTCCTTAAAGAAAAAAGGGGGGGAAGGTTTACAAAGCTCTGTGTGAGTTTATTTACTCTGTATTCTTCTGTTACTAATTTTATCTGATGATACTGGTGTATTAATTTAAGTACGTAGTGACTGTTCTTCGGTCACCAAAATATTTATTCCAAAGTAATCTGCAGGGTGAAACCAAAGTTTTTGGTTTATCTCTATTTCAAACACTCTTAAATTCAAAATATAAATTAGAATAAGCCTGACAAAGCAGGGCAAAATGAACTACAAATGTGAATTGTTAATGAAAATTAACTATCCTAGTATTCTTACCTTCTCTGTATCATTAGATCTTGCTAAGCATTACACCAATAAAATAGTAGGCACCCAAGAAGCCTTCATTTTCTTGATGACAAACTCATTGCAGGTGAAATCACCCAAGTTTGGGTAACAGGATACACAACACAAGGGATGTTGGTCCAACCTGAAAGGGACCAAAACCTAGAGCTTTGAGGATCTCCAGATATTTCCTTAGTTGGCTACTTTTAGTGGCTCTGTTTTAGAAAGTAGGCTTGAGAGGCCCATAAATTACTGAAATCAGATAAATTTTACTACTGAAGGATGCCTAAAGAGATAATGGTCTAGCTGGGAGATAATGAGGAAATGGAGTACGACTGACATGTGGTCTGAAGAATGCAACTACTCTTACAGCATTCAGTTTTGTGTCTGCCAGTGGGATTTTTAAAAAATCAACTTTTCAGAGCTGGGATATGGCTCAGTGGTAGACTACCTGGCCTTGTGTACCTGAGGCCCTGGACTCAATCCCAAGCATCATATAATAATTATAATAATAATAATAATAATAATAATAATAATATATCAATTTCTCAAAGAGCTCCCCCTGCCCCCCCCCATTTTTTGTTTTTGTTTTTTTGGTACCGGGGATCGAACTCAGGTACTTGCGCTTGCGCGGCAGGCGGCGAAACCACTGAGCTAAATCTCCGGCACCCAGTTTGTTTTTTGAGACAGGGTCTCTCTATGTAGTTCAGGCTGGCCTTGAACTCACTATGTAACCCAGGCTGGCTGCTAACTCATGGTGATCCTCCTGCTTCAGCCTCCCAAGTGCTGGGATTATAGGCATGCGCCACCACACCCGGTTCTTCAAACAGCCCATAATTTTAAAACCTAAACCATTTAGGGGGCAAATGAAAACATTTCAGGATAACAATTAATTGCATGCATTTAAAAAAATTAAATCTGAATGTCTTTATATTTAACTGTAAAGGCATCATTGTAATTCCACATACCTAAGTAAATTCAAAATGACCATGTCTAGAATAAGAAACAGAACACTGAATCTAAGTGGCTCCTAGTCCTCTAAATTTTCAGAAATATTACAACATTCCTGATTGTTATATAATTCACATATTTTATCAGTTGTTTCTTCATTTGAAACCATGTCTATGGAAAATACGGATAAAAATTTTAAGCAAGTAAGTATAAAACTAAGTAATACATTGTTGTGTGAATTAACCACAGCTTTTTATTTACCTCATAGTAACTGATCTTTTGTCCTAAGGAATAAGATTCTAAAGTAATAGATTACATAATCAGCTTTCTAATGTTAGCTGCATTTATGAAGCAGTAATATAAAAATTTGCATGGGGCTGGGGATTTAGCTCAGTGGCACCAGGCCTGCAAAAAAAAAAAAAATTTTGCTTATGGTTAACATTCCTATTCTAAGTGAGTATCCCAAGTTCAATCCCAGTACAAAAAAAAAAAAAAAAAAACCTCATATAGGCTGTGTGCACACCTGTAATCCCAGCTACTTGAGAGGCTGAGGCAGGAGCATCAGATCCATAAGTTCAAGGCCAGCCTGGGCAAATTAGAAAGACCAGGTCACAGAACAAAAAATAAAGGGCTAGGCATCCTTTGTGTGTGGTACAGCACCTCTGGGTTCAATCTCCAGTACCCTCTTCCTCAAAAAAAAAAAAAAATCCTTGTAGGAGCTGGCAGCATACAACAAGCAAACAAACAAAAAACCTCACATACGTGTACAAACACACTACACAGTGCACCATCTAGAAGCCTTCAAAGATATAACTTTGAGGCCCAGGGATTTAGCTCAGTGGTTCCGCCGCCTGCCTCAAAAGCACAAGGTTCCAAGTTTGATCCCCAGTACCAAAAAAAAAAACCAAAAAACAATTCTTGGGGCCGGGGATTTAGCTCAGTGGTTTCGCTGCCTGCTGTGCAAGCGCAAGGACCTGAGTTCAATCCCTGGTACCAAAAAAAAAAAAAAGAAGCATATATATATAGATAGATAGATATAACTTTGAGTATCTGACATGGTTACAAGACAAAATAATTTAAATTCAATTTTTAAAACTTCAAAATTTAGAAGTCAATTTGAGACTACAGTGGAAATCAAGTGGAATATATGTTAAAAGTATCTTTAACTGAGTTTTAACTGTACAAGTAATGTATGTTCATAGTTAATTTAGTTGGCTGAGGCAGGAAGAGGATAGTCACGAGTTCAAGGCCATCCTGGACTACATAATGAGACCCTGTCTCCCAACACTCAGGAATCTGAGGCAGGTGGATCATGAGTTCAAAGCCTGCCTGGGCTACACAACCAGGCCCTGTCTCAAAGACAAACATATTCATTTTAAAAATGGGACAAACTTGAATCATTTGTAGGTAAATGATGCACCTCGAGACCGTAATTTTAAGTGAAATAAGATACACAAGTTTAAATATTGCATTGTTTCTCTTGTGTGAGAAACCCTAAGGGTAAACAAGGAGCAAAATGGAGAATGGATACTGGGAAGTAGGAAGAACATGTTCAAAAGGGAAGGGGAACAAGGGAGTGGGGAAGAGAAGGAAGGGAAAGGGATTAAAATACAGAGTGGAAGGGGAAAAAATGAAAACAAAGCTTCTGTACAAGGAAAGGGGAAGAAGGGTTGAAGGGAGGGGAGGGAAAAAGAATTAAGGTATATTATGTACAGGTACAAATTCCCTATGTTGAATGTGAGTATTATGTATGGCAAATATATAGTAATAAATTTTTTAAAAATAAAAATAAAAAATGGGATCATTTTCAACTTTTAAAAAACTTACTAAACATCAGAAATGTTTTCATAGAAGTGAATCTATCTTCTTCTAAAAAGTGTTTTGTATGGATGTCCCATTGTATTATAATATTCTCCTTATTCTGGTCCATTTTTAACATAGTTCAGATGAACGAGTATACAAAATTACTGCTTGTAAAAGTCCGCAAAACATTCAGTCCAGGGCCGGGGATTTAGCTCAGTGGTTCTGGCGCCTGCCTCACAAGCGCAAGGTCCCAAGTTTGATCCCCAGTACCAAAAAAAAAAAAAAATTCAGTCCAGAGCAGTGTTACAGTAGTAAATCTGTTTCTTACACCTCTTGTTCCAAACAATCCAGTTTCCAAAGTTCAAGTAGAAGCTATTTTAATTCATACACACACACACACACACACACACACACACACACACATAACTTTATGGGAAGTCACAAAATGTTGCAATACCAAAAAATTGGTTAGAAATCACCATAGAACAGATCCAAAATAAGTAACATTTCCGTTTTATTTCCTGATTTTGCGCCTACAATATATTTTTTAAGTGGGGGAGGTGTAGAAAAAACTTTCAAGTAGTTTCTAAATCAGTGCTTTAGTCCGAGTTACAATTTTAGAATCTTCAAGACTAACCTTTGTATTCTGCACTTTAAAAAAGAGGCAGGAGAGGAGGAATCAAAACTGTAATTTCTCTTAAGGTCAGTGAAATTAACACTTGGGGAGAGGGGCTTCTAGATTCCCCAAATCATCCCAAGGAACACGCTGGACTCTACAGGGTTGCTTCGCATCTGGACCAAACTACCAATACCCAGAACAAAAAGTAAACGATGCGCTGCCGACCTGGCCTCCTTCTCTCAAAATAACAGACAGAGGGCAGGAAAGGTAAGGCAACAAACCCCCAAGAAGTGCTGTGAAAGGCTGAGGCCATCGCAGGACAGCACTTCCCTTTTTTTCTGTAAACCCGTTTCCTGCCTCCCATTTGGTATCTTCAACTACACAGGAAGAGGAAGGCCTCCAGGTCTTTCTCCCTTTTACATACCGGCGAATCTGGGAAATGGAGCCCTTCTAGGAACTCAGAAACCCAGCCTTTTACTCCTGTGGGCACTCTGGACGAACTGCCCCCGCTGGTGCAAGAAGCGGCCCCCTCCGGGCAGCAGGTGGGGTCCGCGTCCACTGCCAGGCAGTCTGCTGCCGGTCTGGCCCGCCGCCTCGATCTGGGAGGCTGCGGGGCTGGCTAGCTCGTGGGAGACCCGGGCCCGATCTGCTCACGCCCCACACCCGTGGAGGCGGGAGGTGCCGCCCCGTGCCCCCTCATCCGGAGGGCCCAGATGTGCAGCCCCGGGCGCCAAAGGCCCGTGTGTCCCCAGCACATCTCCGCCTGGGCCTGTGGCTGCCGCGGCCTCCTAGCCAGGAGCTTACCCCGGTGCCGTTGTCGCACACCACCACCTTTCTGCCCTGGCTGTCCATGGTCCGCCCCAGGAAGAGCTGCTGCCGTCGAACAACCTACAACAGCCGCCGCCGCCCGGCCTTTGCCGCTTCCTCCTCCTCCCTCTTCGTGGCCCCTCCTTCAGCCCAACTTTTTTCCCTTACCCGGAAGTTACCGCCCCGCCCCGCCCGTTATTTAGTTGAAGGCTGGGGCGGAAGGGGCGGGTCAGAATTAGGAGGCGGTGACTAGCAGCGATAAAGTCCAATAAGAAATGGCTTCAGGTTGTTTTATCACAGTTGCTCCGTCCCAGTGTTCTTCACTTCCTTTTCCCAGCCCTCTGCTTGGTTTAATGGCGGCCGACGTCGTGAGCGGGGCAGTTCTTCTAAAGTGGCTCAGGAATTAAGGGCGCGGCTTCAAGGACTGCGGAAGACGCAGGCAGGTGAAGGACACCGGGTCTGCCACAAGGTGGCAGTGGAATGTGGTAGAGAAACCACCCGGGAGGCGGGGGAACAATCGAACCTACCCCACCATTGAATGTAGATTGGTGTGTCAATGTTTCAGGTCTTTTCAATGGACAGAGCTGGAATAGGTGAATACACTTTTTTGAAATCATGGGTTTATTCGAGATCTCTAATTCCTGCCTAACTGCCCCGGTTGCCACATGAGCGAAAGTGGGTTTCCAGCCCCATGGCCCAGCGCTCCCTCTTCCAGTAGTCCCGTGCTCTTCACACCTTCCAAGTATATGTACCTAGTAAAACCCAGAGCCTCAGCTTTGAAGTCAAACGACCTCACTTTCAAATCTGGCCCAGCCAGCCAGAAGTTTTGTGAGTGGATATACCCTTGTCTTTGTGTGGGGGTGAGAATCTCTACCCCCATGGGTGGTTGTGAGGATAACATTCTGTGCATAGGACCAGAATTCATTCAGTGCTAGCTATTTATTATTAATTTCATGTTTTCTAACCTGTTGTTCTCTTGATCCATAATACCTCCCTTTAAAAACTATTTATTCTGTAGTACTGGGGATTGATTGAGCCCAGGGTGTTGCCTATACTAGACAAGCACTTTTCATACTGAGCTGTATCCCCACCCCTTTTTATTTTGAGACAGGATCTTGCTAAATTGCCTAGGCTGAACTAGACCTTATGAGCCTCCTGCCTCAGCCTCTGGAGGAGCTGGGTTTCAGGAGGGTAGTCCACTACACCTGGCTTCATCTTTTCTTTCTTTGTTAATTCTGGTTTTTTGTTTTGTTTTACCAGGGTCTCACTATGTAGTTCAGGTTGGCCTTGAACTCATAGCCCAGGCTGGCTTTAAACTTGCAGTGATTCTCCTGCCTCAGCCTACAAGGTACTGGGATTATAGTACTCTGCATACTGTACCACTACGCCCAGACATGTTTTCTTTTTAATCAATTGGTGGACTTCCGCTCATACTTTGAGACCTAGATTGTCATACCTCTGTGAAGACTTTGCTGACAACCGGAACATGTTCTTTACTCCACTTCCTTGCTGTTACTTTACCATGGATATATGAATAACATGGTACTTAATATACACAGCATATTTATTGGATAAATGACATAAACGTTCACATTTAAAAGCCATTATTTTTTGCAAATCAATAAATGTAATACACTATATTAACAGAGCCAAGGACAAAAACTACATGTTCCTCTCACTAGATGCAGAAAAAGCATTTGACAAGGCCCAACACCCATTCATGATAAAAACCCTACAGAAATTTGGTATAGATGGTCTACAGGGAAAAGGTAATGGGAGTTGCCAGAGACCCCTGCAGTGGTCCTGGCCTCCTGCAAGCCAGTCCGATGTCTGTGTGATAGGAAAGTGGGAATTAAAACAAACACAGAGACAGACTTGAGAGAAACTGAGTCTTGGGCTGATCTAAGCTGCTCTCAGCAGCAAAGACAAAGACCCCAAGGACATCCAGTATTTTATTTGTTACAAGCCCGGGAAAGAGGGGCCTGCTGATAATAAGTATCAACAGGGAGGACTGTAGAATGAGGACACAAGCATATCTTTGCTAACGAGAACAAATGGTTAATTCAGAAGGGGAGAATTTACTTGGAGTCAGTTGACCTTGCCTGGAAGTAAACTCAGCGAAGTCATCTGCTACTTCACAGACTAGGACTTATGTCTCAGTAGTAGCCATTAGCAAAGGAGCAATACTAGCCCAACTCTGCTATATGACATGTCCATTTGAGTCACGTAAGCTTTGGTCAGATTCCTGAAATAATACACAGCCAAATGATAGAGGGGCAAGAAGCTTGTGCCACTATAGCCTGCTAACATTGGGCAGAGGTGTCTGCTACAGTGGTCTTTATCTCAATCTGATACAAGCCATCTATGACAAACCAACAGCCAACATCATACTAAATAAACAAAAACTGAAAGCTTTCACTCTAAAATCAGGAACAAGACAAGGATGTCCACTGTCTCCGCTCGTGTTCAATATAGTTCAGGAAACACTAGCCAGAGCAATTGGACAAGAGAGAGAAATAAAATGAATAAGGATAGGAAAAGAAGAAGTTAAGTTATCATTATTTGTGGATGACATGGTGCTATACATAGAAGACCCCAAAAACTCCACCGAAAGACTTTTGGATTTCATAACCAAATTCAGTGATATAGCTGGATACGAAGTCAACACTCAAAAGTCAATAGTCTTCCTGTACACGAACAACAGACTCCTGGAGAGAGAAATTAGAGAAACAATCCCTTTCACAATAGCATCCTCAAAAATGAAATACCTAGGAATCAGTCTCATTAAGGAAGTAAAAGACTTTACACTGAAAGCTACAGTACTCTGAAAAAGGAGATTGAAGAAGGTATCAGAAAATGGAAAGATATCCCTTGTTCTTGGACAAGAAGAACCAATGTGAAAATGGCCATACTTCCAAAATTGTTATGCAGATTCAATGCAATCCCAATCAAAATCCCAACAGCATATCTCACAGAATTAGAAAAAACAATTCTATTTATAGCTAAATGGATGGACCTTGAGACCATACTCTTAAGTGAAATAAATTGGTCACACATGTTTAAATACCACATTGCTGGGGATCTTCCCCAAAGAATTAAAAGAATCATACCACAGTGATATATGTGCACCCATGTTCATAGCAGCACAGTTTGTGATAGCTAAAACTTGGAAACAGCCCAAATGCCCATCAACTGGAGACTGGATAAAGAGAATGTGGTTTTTTTTATAAAATGGAGTACTACTCAGCCATAAAAAATGAGAAATTAGAGACATTTATAGCTAAATGGATGCACATTGAGGCGATACTCTTAAGTGAAATAAATAGGACACACATGTATAAATACCAAATAGTTTCTCTGGTGTGAGAAACTGAAAGTGTAAATAAAGACTAAAATGTATAATAGGTAATGTGAAATAGGAAGAAAAGGGGCAAAGGGGAAGGAAGTGGGAGGGCTAGGGGAAAGGAAAGAAGGGAATGGAATTAATATGAGAAAATGGAAAAATAGGAATAAAATCTTTGTAAATAGGGAGAAATGGAGGGGTTGAAAGGAGGGCTGGGCAAGGGTGAAAAATAAGAACCAAGGGAGATTATGTAAAGGTGCAAATTTCCAGCGATGAATGTCATTATCTTGTATACCTAAAATGTACCAATGATTAGAATGAATAATCGATAATGCAAAATAGGAAGAAAAGGCCCAAAGGGGTAGGGGTAGTGGGAGGGGCAGGGGGAAGGAAAGAAGGGAAAGGAAAAATGATGAGAAATGGAAAAAATGGAAATATAGTCTTTGTAAATAGGGAAGGGAGGGCTAGAAATGGGGAAAAAATAAGAACCAAGATGCATCATGTAAAGGTGCAAGTTCCCAATGAGAAATGTAATTGTGTTGTATACCTACAATGTACCAGTAAAAGAATTTAAAAATAAATAAATAAATAGATACCACATTGTTTCTCTGGTATGAGAAACCAAAAGTGGAAATAAGGACTCAAATATATAATGGATGTTGTAAAATGGGAAGGAAGTGTTCAAATGGGAAGGGCAACAAAGGAGGAGGGAGGGAGAAAGAAAGAGACAAGAAAAAAGTGAAAATGGAAAAAATGGAAACAAAGCTTTTGTACATAGGGAGAGGAAGGGGCTTGAGGAGGGGAATGGGATAAAATAAAATTACTTAAAAATAAAAGCCATTTTTGAGAGATGATAACTAGAATTGTGCCTTCCACATGGCTGTACATATATAACAATTAGAATAAAACTTGGATCATGGACCCCCAACTCAGTATTCTTTCTATTTTATTACCAGGCTCCCACTTTTCTCTTTGTCTTTTAAGGTCTAGAGGCATAGAGTGCTTTACTCACATTTAATCTTACATAGAGGGGTCAGGCTTGCGTGCTAGTAATCCCAGCACTCAGGAGGCTAGGCAGGAGGATCATCACTAATTCACGGCCAACCTGAACTACATAGCAAGATTCTGTCTCAAAAAAATAAGTAAAATATAAATTAATCATGTAAATTCCAACCCATAAAACAGATTTAGAAATAAGGCTGCCATAGTTGTATTATAGCTGAGAGGTCAGGTTGCATAAGAGGCCTCAGGAATATTTCTTCCCTTCACCTGCTTCAGTAATCCTTGAGGTGCCTCAGCCTGCTGCACATTGAATTCTGTGTGCTCAAAGTTCCCAGCACTGGGCAGTTTTCCTGGAAGGATATTTAACAGGGCTCAGCAAGTAAACTCACAAATTTCTATGTTCTTGTAGTTTCCCTCTATAGAATTAAGTAGATTATTAATTTTTACTTTCACTAAGTTGCCCAGGTTGGGCTTGGGTTGTTTTTTTTTTTTCTTGGTACCGGGGATCGTACTTGGGACCTTGTGGTTTTGAGGCAGGCAGCAGAACTGAGCTAAATCCCCGGCTATTAATTTTTACTTTCAAGAAATAATGTTTGTTTTTTCTGATTAGAAGAAAAATATGTTCAAATAATAGAAAATGTTGACATTATCTCTTCAGTATACAACTGAAAATTCACCAAAATCCGTCATCATGCAAAGTCAGAAATAAACTGTATGATATAGTCTGACTCCTGCCTTCTACACCAGACGCATTCTGGTCATTTCACTTTCCTCATAATAATATAATCCCAAATTTTAGGCAATTGAATACTTGGTTAGAAGAGACTTCATTTCTTATCTTTCTTTTTTTTATTTGATATAGAGTCTCAGTATGTAGCCCAGGCTGGTCTCGAACTCATGATCCTCCTGTCTCAGCCTCCCAAATGGTAGGACTACAAGTGTGAGCCACCATTGCCTGGCTAAGGAAACTTAGTTTCTAACCTTCTGTTAAGGTTTTATGTATATTCACACAAAAACCTTGCTGTATAGATATCTCCATTTCATACATGGAGATGTTAAAAATTTAATATGGGAGCTTTAAAAATTTAACTTAACTTTAGGCTGGGGAGTATAGCTCAGTGGTAGAGCACTTGCTTAGCATGTTCAAGGCCATAGGTTCAATCCCCAGTACCACACACACCCTCAAATAACATTTAACAACTTAATAAGACAAATTACCTAATTTAAAAGTCTGAAAATGTGAATAGATGTTTTACCAAGGCAGTTTTATGAATGCCTAGTAAGCACATAAAAAATATTCACCATCTTAATCATTAGGGAAGTGCAAATTGAAAACAAAATAAGCTACTGCCTCATACTCATAATAGAATGGCTATTATCAAGAAGGCAGGAGGCTGGGGATTTAGCTCAGTGCTTCCATCGCCTGCCTGGCAAGTACAAGGTCCTGAGTTCGATCCCCAGTACCAAAAAAAAGGAAATAGAATTAGTGTTAACACTGATGTAGACAAATTGGAAGCGTCCTGTTTCTGGTGAAAATTTAAAATGGTGCAGCCACTTTGGAAAACAGCTTGACATTGTTTCTAAAAATTAAGCATAGCTGGGCATAGTGGTGCATGGCTGTAATCCCAGCACTTGGGAGGCTGAGGCAGGAGGATCACCGAGAGTTAGAGGCCAGCCTGGGCTACATACTGAGTTCAGAGCCAGCCTGAACTACAAAGTGAGATCATGCCTCAAAAAAAAAAATTAAGCATGAAATTACCATGTAACCCAATATTTCTACTCCTAAGTATAAACTCAGAAGTTTCCACAAAAGTATATGCAAGTGTTTATAGCTGGATTACTCATAATAGGTAAAAAGTGGAAATAATACAAATGTCAATCAATATGAATGAATATACAAATTGTGGTACTGTATATCCATTCAGTGCAATATTATTTGGCAATAAAAATGCGCCAATACATGCCAGATGTGGTGGCGCATGCCTGTAATCTCAGCACTCGAGAGTCTGAGGCAGGAGGATTGACAAGAGTTTGAGGCCAGCCTGGGCTACATATTAAGTTGAAGACCAGCCTGAACTACATAGTGAGACCCTGTTTCAAAAAACACAATACAGGGCCAGGGATTTAGCTCAGAGGTTCCACCACCTGCCTCACAAGTGCAAGGTCCTGAGTTCAATCCCTGGTACCAAAAAAACAAAAACAAAACAAAAAACACAATACATGCTGTGATATGAATGAACCTTAAACATTATCTCAGATTCAAGAAGACTGTACAGTGTGATCTTCTT